CCTCAGCTTTCTTATTTACAGTGAGTTGGGGATGTATGTGGTTTCTGAGATTCTTCAGGATGCCATGGTGTTTACTGATCTTTGAGTGTCCTTCTGCTGTGGACCACAGCGAACATGAACACCGTCAACATTCCACAGTTCATGTGTTGTCATGTTGCTGGATGCTGCTGCAATTGCTCTATATGTAGTTTTCAAGTTCAGCAACTAATTCCTGTTATTAACATAAGGTATTTGGTAGGTTACCATTGGCATTTAGTGTTTTTCATCCAGAAAGGACTTTGCAGTTCACCTGTAAGACTTCTAAGTGTCATCAAAATAAGATTTTTTTTTTTAATTCAAGGTAGAAGTGAAAGCAGATAAGCTTTCATCTTGGTTTAAATGTTATGTTCTGTGATTCTGTGTTGCTGAAGAAAGTCATGTGTCTTGAGAAGCCGCCAAGAGATATGCCAGTGCATAGCTTCTGTAACCTTTACGTATGCTTCAGTGAAAGCATGAGAGAATTTAAATGAAACTGCATGCTGCAGAAGGAATCCAGCCTCATACCTCAAACTGAAACATGCAGGGGCAAATGGTGATTGTCATTGCTGTCATTGAAAGTGTGTTTCAAAGATGCAAGCAATTTCACGTCAACCCAAGTAAAAACTTTTCACTGAAACTTTGCATGAACAAATATACACTGAGAATCTGTTGCGTTCAGACACTGAACAAATTATACTACATACTCCATTGTAGGGATATTTGCTCCCCTGTTTTCATTCAAGTAGGACCTAGAAAGTAAATTCACCTGCCTTGCAATTCTGCCCTCTGTTTAACAGTAACCAGAAAGACCAGTAAGCTTGATAATGAGGAAAATGACTGTTAGCATGACTATTCTCTTTTACCTTTTTAAAAAGTGATTTCATTTAGATTTTAAAACATTGTTGGACATTTGAAGATTTTAGAAGTAATTCTTTCAAGGCAATAATCCTTTCAAGTGTGTGCCTCTACTTGGCAAGGCTTTGCTATGTTGTAGCACTAGTAAGGTTCAATTTCAGAAAAGCCTCTGAGTATGAAGCATATTGTTATGAATGTTCAGGAGCACTGCTGATTGCTCGAGAAAGGGAAGAGTGGGTAGAAGAGCCAGATTAAGCGGAAGACAAACTGGACTTGTAGATAAAAAAGCGTGAGTAATGCAGACTTGACCTGACATTCATATGAGAGTCTTGAGATCAGGAGAACGTGTGTCATTTGAGGATGTTCAGGATGAAAAAAAGCTGTGATTAGTCTGCTATGATTATTTAGTGATAACACCTCAGAGTAGATCATTCAGGACCCACCCAAGACTTACCTCTCACTTTGCCTCTTTATTAACATTGTGCTTTAATTTGTTTTAATTTGTCCACATCCCAGTGTGCTCAGCTGTAACATGGAGCTATGAAAACTGTTTATCCTAAAGGTTATTGTGCTGCTCTATGTAAAGAGCAGGCATTGGTTTTTTTTTGATCATGTTACTTATTAACTTTATGATTTTTCCCCCCTTGCATCTTTTTCCAGAGATTTCTTAAAGTTCCAGGAATAGAAAAGGGATTGGCAATGTGCACTTTAGTGTGGATTACAGAGAGTGCTCTGAAGAGAAGCAGAAAGGAAAGTGCAGTTAAGATAACACAGAAAACAAGAGCCAGCCTTAGTTCATGGTTGGCCAACATATTGTTTTTTTTATGGGTCTTTGGCTTAAAAAAAAATTGCCTACTCTTTCTGAAATTTGTACAGTTGGATCACAAATATTACAGTTCCTGATTTTAGATCAGCCAGCAAGGATTTATATGCGTTTCTTTTGCCTCAGTTCACCCGTCCATCTGCCCAGTTGTTCAGCCAGCCAGCAAATGTTTGCTGAGGCCCAGGTGAGTCCAAGCTAAGCAGTGGCCAACACTGAGATCAAAGAAGCAACGAATATGTAGTCCATGAAGGTTAGGTATCTTCTGATTTTCCCAGTTTTTAAGGTGATAGTGTCAGATTAGGAGATAGTATAATCAGATGCTAAATCATTTGGATGCTTTCATGAGGTCAGATTTGTCCCCCTTTTTTGGTTATTTGAAACAATTCCTTGAGAAGTGAGACAAATAAAGAAAAATTAGCATGAGGGGCGAATCGGAATCATCTTCTTCATCCTCAGCTCCCAGTAAACGTCTCTAATTTCCTGTTGATCGCTCTTGACCGTGCTGTGAAAAGCATGAGTGCCGGTGTCCCGTCACGTGTATTCCGAGGATATTAGTAGGAGTGCTTCCCAACCCCTTCCGTATTGTGAGGCACGTAGAAAGTGATGACATTTTTATGCCGCACCAAGGTAAGTGCAGATTTCCTTGGTGGCTCAGCGGTAAAGAAGCTGTCTGTAATGCAGGAGATGTGCGTTCCCTCCCTGGGTTGGGAAGATCCCTTGGAGAAGGAAGCAGCCAATCACTCCAGGATTTTTGCCTGGAGAATCCCACAGACAGAGGAGCCTGGCGGGCTACAGTCCATGGGGTCACAAAGAGTCAGACACAGCCAAGTGACTGTGGTGGTGATTTAGCCAGTCAGGACCTCGTAATTTCATTTTTTTAAGAACAATTTGGGCATGTTAGTGACAGTGATGCCATAATACATTTTAGTAAGATAATGTACAGAGGATCCCAAAGAAAAATATTGGATTAAAAACTAATGTAGGTTTGAGGCAACTCTTTATAATTAAAAAAAAAAAATAGGCTTCTTCAGGGAATTGAGAGTCCTGGACTTCAATTCTCACTTGATCACCTTTGGCAAATCATTTCTCTCTGAACCCCAATTTCCTTATCTTTGAAATGAGAGAACTTTCTTAACCTTTTGGCTAAGATCAAGTATAAAATGAGGGCAATTGAACAAGGTGAATTTTAAGCTGCTCTCTAGCTCTACTAGGCCATGATTTTGTACTGCCTATAAATCTTTGCTGTTGAGTCAACTGCTTCGCATTGAGTGTTTGCTATATGCTAAGCACTTGGTGAGTAATTTCTCTACATGGTCTAGTAGCTTCGTGAGCTCCCAATCAAAAGTTTCTGCATTGATGCTAAAGGAATTGTTAATAAAATACACCAACTGTCTAAACTGTCTAGGCTTGCCTGTATGCAGGTGACAGGTCCTGAACGTTCAACTTCTGGAAGAAAAGTTAATGTTAAAAATCTCGTTAGGAGCTTTTTATGTAGTTGTCTGAGTCCTTTCTGTCTAGTGGGTAAGGCTGTCTAACTGGAGGGTAACAGAGGAGACCTGGAGAACACATGAATAATCAAGGACTGGGGGCATTATGGTAGTTTGCCCACAAGGTAGACCAATTATGGTAGCATTTATTTATTCCACAAGGGATTTATTCTCATTTACCACATGTCAGATATTTTCTAGGAGCTATAAATTTAAACCTCAGAGGTTCCTGCTATAGTCAGACACAGACAAACAGTCAAATGTACATACCGACTTGCATATATAATATATACATACATTAAAGATACCAGTCTCAGAGGGAGGGTTTTTGTAATAAACATATTAGTGACTAATTTGAAATGTTCAAAGCACATAAATTATCCTATCCTTGCTTCCCATTTTCCATTGGTAAATGTTTATTGAGTCATGTATCAGATACATTAAAAAGGACGAAACTAAATCGTGTCAAAAAAGTACTTCTGAGTACATAAAAATTCAGTAATATGCCCTTCAGGAAACATGATGTTTCAGATTCATGCTCACCAGGATACATGTACACATATATGCACAGATGTGGGTGTAATGTTTACTTGTAAGTGTCCGAAAAGAATACTTGAACCTAGAGGATAAATAGAGAAACCTGGGCTTGTGTCAACACATATATGTGTTTGTGAGTATGTGTCAAGGAGATTAGGAAGGAAAGATGAGAAGGAAGGGAAAAAATAATCAATGGTCTTAGAAGGAACCACAGTAGTCAGTAAATTTTGCCTTAACGCCCCCCGCCCCCCCCCCCCCACACACACCATCTTTGCTGTATGGTGCTGCAGCTAGTGAACCATTATTCATTCCATTAACTGATAGATCATTGGATTTAAGTTGTCCACCCACCCAAATGTAACAAAATGCACAAAAGAATAATTTCAGTTCCTAAAAAATATAAAAATATCCACAGACATTAGAAGTGGTACTTAATGTACTCTACCAACTGTGATAAAGAAAACTTGCTAAAAGTCCTTCCAAAGCAGAAACATTTTTTTTTTAAATCTCAGGGAATTTTTTCCTTTACTGGCCAGAAACTCATTCCAAGAAGTACCAGCCTGTCTCATTTCAAAATGCTTCCTTTGCCAAGGAAGCGGAAGCGGTCATATTCTTTCCCACCAAACTATGGATGAATTATAATTAGCCTACCTCTGGTGGAATAGTGAAGCAGCAAACATCTGCTATACTGAATCCAAGAACCCACGAATGAAACTATACCAAACTGTGAATCATACCTGGATGCAGATTAAAGGATTTGCGTTGTGTTTACCTTTTTCTTGATTTTCTTTGCAGTTTGATTTTTTAGCTCTGGCTCCATGTTCTATGGGGAAATATATGGGTTCCATTTGTTGACTCCTATGTTAATGTTGAAAAATCCCAGCTTTAAGGCAGATGGGCAGTAAAAGTTAATAACATTTTCTGTTTAATTTGTTATCACCTCACAGTTTTCTTTTTCTTTAAGAGGGTGGTACAGTTAAAGAAAATTCAGAAGTGCACAGTCTAAGTTAGGTCCTTTAGTGTTTTTTTTTTTCTTCCAGTATAGTAAAAGTAACAGAGGACTGAAAAATGGTTTTTTAAACTTTATTTATAAAACAAGCTTCAAAACTACTGTTACTTATCAAAATTTTGTGTTTCATGGTGTTTAAGGTGGTACTAAAGTATTCACCTAAAGTAAGGAAAGGAAATGGAATTTATGCTCTTGAGTTTTAGCTGTGAAAACATATAATAGTCCACTTGATTTAAATTTGTGTGTATGTCTTTTTATTTCCATCTATCAGAGAGCAGAAAGACAAACTCGAGTTATGGATTCAGCTCAATATGCAGAATTCTGTGAAAGTCGACACTTAAGTTTCTGTAAGTAAGCATTTAACTTGGCTTCATTATATGTTTAAGAGATTATGTGTTACAGATACACTAAAGTACAGCACAATCTCTGTTCCTTAGAAATTGGTGAATTTAATACGTATATGCATAGTTATAACTGTTATGGAAACAGCCTCTGCATTGTAGGGGAACCCATAAAAGGTTTTAACCCACTCTGCTGTTTTGCAGTTATAAGTATTAAGAGGTTTTAAAGGGTGCTGGTAATACACAGAGAGCCATGTTAATTACTCACATTACTTTTAGTCCATTCTTCTTAATATTCCCATTTAAATTTCTCTTTTGGTTTCTTAATCATGTTTGCACTAGTATTGCTGATTGTGCTTGACCCGTAGTGGGCTGTGGTTGTACAGTCATGACATTTAAAAGCCCCTAATGTTAATAAAAACTTGCCCTTCATGCGCGCATACTGGTATTACCACAGTAGAATATGTCAACAGTCTCTTCTATCTTTGTCTATAACCTCCCGCTGTAGTGTATGTTGCCTGTTAGCCAAGTTCATTAGTCCACACCTTGTACCTATGGTAAAATTAGTGCCATCCCACCCCTGCACACAGCTTAAGAGTACATAAAGGCTTGTGATAAACAGGGGGCTGGATTGTGTAGGAAAAACATCCTTACAGCAATAGTTCAGTGATGACTAAGACTTTCAGGGTGAAGGTCAAAGAGTAAGTGTGATGAAAAGTCCAGTTAAAAATATGACAAAGTAGCACATGACCCTTGTCTGAGAAATCATAGACACAATGGTGTCTTTAAACGACAAGCTATTATGTGGTCACAATAACAGCGTATTCAATTTGGAAAAAGAAAATGAGAGCTTCATTTATAGATCATAAAGTGCAAATAAATGACACATTTCAAACAGCACCCCATGTAAATGTCAGCAAAATATAGGAAAACATGTTTGGGAAGGTTTTTTTTTTCCCTCCTGACTAAATATACTTTGCAGTCTGACTAACAATTTGGCATCATACATCTGTGAAGCATTAAGTAAATGACACTTCAGATCATGGCAATTTCAGCAAATGAGAGGTTTTTGTATTGTAAATTTTAGGTTTAAAAATGGCATTCAAGTCTTTTATAAGTATAAATCTCCATTTTATAAAGTAACATTCAGTGCTAAGGAACTATTTTTTGAATCATTCTTAATTTACGTAAAGAAACAAGTGCTATTTCACACTAAAACATGTAGTGTCCTAATACCTCTTTTGTTTAAAAAATCTGATTTTTCATAACTGAGTTTTTTGGTTCATAACTTAATAATAAACTGCAGTAGATAAAAAATTAATATTTTCCATTTCTGTAGTATAAAGAGTATAGTATAAAGAGTATCTTATGCTTAACTTTTTTTCTTTAAAGAAGAGGGATTTGGGCATTGAAAAATATTTCTTCATATAGTGCCCATAGTACTTCATCATGAAACCTTAGTGGGAGAATCTGTTTTCTGTGCCAGAGTACTGTCTTTGTGAATGCTCAGTCCAAGGGGGTCAGCAGTTCCAGAACTAGACTCTTCATGCCTTTGCTGATACAAGACCAAGGTACAGGAATTGTGATTCGGCCATTTGTGTCTTTTTAAATATTTAATCGTAGTACTCACTAACTGAGACTACTGGTGCATTTTAAAATGACCTGTCTATAACTTATAAAGACTGAGGGTGAGCTTTAGAATTAAGACACTGATCCCATTCACCAGTATTTTGTTTTTATATTTATATAAGTCAGATTATCATTTCCCTTTAAAAGTCTTTTAAAATCTGATATTAATTCAAAAAGCTCTAATTTAGTTATAATTTGATAAACCTGTTTCCAGTCCTTTCAACCCCCGTTGTTTCATGTGTGGCTTTTGTGAACAGATACCTAAATTTTCTTTTTAATCAATCTGAGAGTCTCTTTGTATTTTAATTGATGAGTTTAATTTATATGTATTTAATTACTTATACATTGGGGTTTATATATGCTGTCTTATTTTGTGTTTTTAATTTACTGTGCTTTTTTGTTTGGTTTTCCTCCTTTTATTTGGATTGATGGGCTTTTCTTGATTCCATTTTTCACAAACCAGTTCGTATATTACTTATTCTATTGCTATTATTTTAGTTGCTATCCTTAATTTTTCTAAAGCACATTCCTGGCCTAAAATTTCTTTAAGTTGGTAAGTACAGGCATACCTTGTTTTATTGATCTTTGCTTTATTGTGCTTCATAGATAGTGTGTTTTTTTAACAAGTTGAATGTTTGTGGCAGCCCTGCCCTGTGTCAAGCAAGTCTATTGGTGCCATTTTTCAAACAAGTTTATTTTTAATTAAGCTATGTACATTTTTTTAGACATAGTTATTTTACACTTAATAGACTATAGTATAGTTTAAACGTAGCTTTTTATATGCACTGGAAAACCAAAAATTTCATGTAATGTGCCTTATTGCAATATATGATTTATTGTGGTGGTCTGGAATCAAACCCACAGTATCTCCAAGGTATACTTGTATCTGAACTTTCCATCTCAGCCTAATTTTGTTTTCCCCAAGCCTCTGAAAGTACTTTAAGGCACTCCTTTTTGTCTTAAAAAACTGGCTTTATTTTTTCCTCATATTTAACTGATAGTTTAGTTAAGTAGGAAATTGTAGACTAATAGTTATTGGTTAAAACATGATTCCATTGTCTTTTTGCCTCTGTTGTTGGTTAGAAATCTGATGTCTACTTGTTTTATGGTTTCCCTGTGGGAGAAAAGGAAAGAAAGAAGATGTAGCTGCCAGGCCCTGCAGTACATGGGGAAGTTAACAGGCTGGCAAGCAGCAGCTGATCACTCTCTCTCTCTCTTTAGTCACTCAGTCGTGTCCGACTCTTACGACCCCATAGACTGTAGCCCACCAGGCTCCTCCGTCCACAGGACTCTCCAGGCAAGAATACTGGAGTGGGTTGCCATTTCCTTCTCCAGGGGATCTTCCTGACCCAGGAATCAAACCCAGGTCTCCTGCATTGCAGGCAGATTCTTTACCAAATGAACTATGACATCATCCCTATTTATAGCTGATCAATAAATAGGTATAAAAGGAAAGAAGGAAGGAACCCCTACTATGAAAGTTTCCAGGGAAGGGACTTCCCTGGCAGTCTAGTGGTTAAGACTTCACCTTCCAATGCAGAGGGTGTGGGTTTGATTCCTGGTCAGGGAGCTGAGATCCCACATGCCTCATAGCCAAAAAAACAAAGCATAAAACAAAAGCAGTATTGTAACAAATTCACTAAAGAGTTTAAAAATGATCCACATCAAAAAAAAAATCTTAGGGAAAGAAAAAATTCCAGAGAAAACCATGCCCTCTTAGGAAGGCTATTTTTTATTCACCCAAATAACAGTGATTTTGCAGAGAGAGAAGTTGCAGAAGGCTTTCTTCAGAGTACAGTGAGCATCACAGAGGGCCATGAGGGAAGGGTCAGGACTGGAAAGGCTGGTGAAAAGGGATATGGCAGAAATAATGAAATCACATGGAGGGGTGAGAGGTGAGAATGGAATGAATTTTTCCCCAATCACTGACGAGAAAGACAATTTATGAGAATTAACTAACCTTACATTTACATATGAAATTATTATGTAAAGTTTATTTCCAACACAGGCTAAAAACCAAGGAGTATCAGAAAGAGGATGATCCTAGGAACTTTTGACCTTTGGTCAAGATTCTGAATAAATTGATAAATTTATTGATCATTATTATTATATTATTGATCATCATTATTCTGAATAAGTTGATGAATTTCTAGGATTACCCTTAATCCTGATACAGTGAGAAGAGGGGTGAAGGAAAAGGAACTCATTGAGTCTGACTGGAGGTATCTTTGCCTCTTGTGTTGGACCCACTTTTACCCTGGAAGGATCCATCTCTGAAACAGTCCTTCCCACGTGTCAGGAACAGAATTATCTAAGAATCTTCACCTGTTGCAGGAATAGGAGTAACTCAAGTGGTTTTGGAGAAGGAAATGGCACCCCACTCCAGTATTCTTGCCTGGAAAATCCCATGGACAGAGGAGCCTGGTGTGCTATACAGTCCATGGGGTTGCAGGAGTCAGATACAACTTAGTGACTGAATCACCAAGTAGTCTTATGGGACATCTGTGCATCTTTTTTGATGTATGGAGAAGTTTGGATCCTGTCCTTTTATTAAAGAACTATCTATCATTTGTTCTTTCATTCATTCACTCACTCATTTCTTCTAGAAATATTTATGGTGAGTGCACTAATACCAGGCACTATTCTGGGTGCTAGGATACCACAACACACCCAGGGTCCTCACCTCTGCCTTCTCAGTGAGGAAGAGCTAACGAGGAAGCTGCCCATTCTGTTGTGTAGGTGGACAGATCTGACCAAGAGGTCTCCTTTCCCTCATGTTTAAAATCAAGTGTTTAGAGCAAAGTCACGAAATACCTGTTTCCCTGTTCAGTTCAGTTCAGTCACTCAGTCATATCTGACTCTTTGAGACCCCATGGACTGTAGCACGCCAGTCCTCCCTGTCCATCACCAACTCCCAGAGTTTACTCAAACTCATGTCCATTGAGTCAGTGATGCCATCCAACCATCCCATCCTCTGTCATCCTCTTCCCCTCCCACCTTCAATCTTTCCCAGCATCAGGGTCTTTTCCTTCACCATCATCCATCAGAGGGCAGACAGACTGAAAACCACAATCACAGAAAACTAACCAATCTAATCACATGGACCACAGCCTTATCTAACTCAATGAAACTTTGAGCCATGCTGTGTAGGGCCACCCAAGACAGACGGGTCATGGTGGAGAGTTCTGACAAAATGTGGTCCACTGGAGAAGGGACTGGCAAGCCACTTCAGTATTCTTGCCTTGAGAATGCTATGAACAGTATGAAAAGGCGAAAAGATAGGATACCGAAAGATAAACTCCCCAGGTCAGTAGGTGCCCAGTATGCTCCTGGAGATCAGTGGAGAAATAACTCCAGAAAGAATGAAGAGATGGAGCCAAAGCAAAACAACACCCAGCTGTGGATGTGACTGGTGATAGAAGCAAAGTCTGATGCTGTAAAGAGCAGTACTGCACAGGAACCTGGAATGTTAAGTCCATGAATCAAGGCAGATTGGAAGTGGTCAAACAGGAGATGGCAAGAGTGAACGTTGACATTTTAGGAATCAGCGTGCTAAAATGGACTGGCAAGGGTGAATTTAGCTCAGGTGACCATTATATCTACTATTGTGGGCAAGAATCCCTTAGAAGAAATGGAGTAGCCATCATAGTCAACAAGAGAGTCTGAAATGCAGTACTTGGATGCAATCTCAAAAAGGAAAGAATGATCTCTGTTCATTTCTAAGGCAAACTATTCAGTATCACAGTAATCCAAGTCTATGCCCCAACCAGTTTCCCTGTTACTGTCTGTTAAAGGGAGAAATGAATAAGGTACATTTTATTGATCTTGCCAAATTGCTGCCTGTTAACTTCAGAAGTATTCCACAGATGTGAACCAAGTGTTTGTGAGCTATTGCAGTTTCCTAGTTAGATGGAATGTTACATGTCAGAGAGCCCTGGGAAGATTGGTTCCTTTAGGGGGATAGCTTTAAGGGGGATCACCGTAACTCGGCCACAGCCGACAGCTTTGGATACATGCTTCAATAGCAGAACTTAATGTCTCCTGTGATTTATTTCACAGAAAACTCTCTGTATGTGGAATCCAGGAGGACTGTATTTTATCAGGATCAAAACATCATGCTTGGAGTTACCATTAAGTGTTTCACAGACTGTGGGGCCAGATTAATCAAAAGAATAACCAGTGGATTTTTTAAAGATGATTGCATTATAGATGTGATAAAATCTTCACTGTCAATATTTTCCTCTAGATTACTAGTTAAGTTAGTAATATCTAATGAAGGCCCTATGTCACATTAGACTGCTTAGCACTGTGGCGGTTTCAAGATACCTAACAGAAGATTCCTTGTGTTTTCTGTACTGTTACGTATGCAGAGAGACGAGATGTGTGGTATCGACCCACAAAACTTGTAATGTGGCTTGTGAAATCAAGACACAGAAGGATCTCTGATAAGTGTTCAGTAAATGATTGGAATGGGGAACGTGTGTCTGTGGTCCTGGGCAGGATTCATATGAATGAAGCCAGGTGATAGGAGAGTATCCCATGCAAGGGTCAACACAAAGAGGGTTAACTCAAGCCCAGGTGATGTTTTAATTAGGGAATAATATAAAGGCAGGTGGGAATCACTCTGGGTGGTTTTGAGAATCATGCTTAAGAATTTGGACACGATATTCATCAGGAAAATGTAACCACAGACTTAGATCAGGCCAGATATAAGTTTGTTCCATTAATTCTAAATTCACAACTTTGAGCCTACTCAAGAAAAAGACCTATTTTGAAAGGTAGTAAAGATACATTTCTGTGTGTTCCTTTTTTCTTCACGGGTTCTTTCTTGCAGGATTTTCTTTCCATAAGAATAAAGTTACATCAAGCAAGTGATTCTTCTGACTCTTGTTAGAATAGAATCTATGGTCAGTAATAACCTATTCTAACACACTGTAAGAAGTGCTGAGCATTCAGTGGTTTAGCGTACTTTTAGGCAGCAGAGATATGAAAGACGCAAATGTGTAAAGGCATTCTTGGGACTGGAATATATCTAAACACTAATAAGATTTCAAAAAAATTTCATTGTATGCACATTGTTTTCACTAGATATATTTTTCACTTTGTGATGGTAATATGCAGTATTAAAACACTTTAAAAACTAAATATTCTCTTTAAAAACTAAATATTCTCTACTTTTTTTTTAATGACTAGCCAAAAAAGGGTCCAAATTTCGAGACTGGTTGGACTGCGGTAGTATGGAGATAAAGCCCAATGTTGTTGCTATGGAAATTTTAGCATATTTAGCATATGAAACGGTGGCACAGGTAAGAGCTTGAATCTATTGTATCAAACTGTATGTAGCTGCTTTCCCCTTATTCCTGTCCATGATCAATTCTTCTTCCACCTGCTGCTCTACCAGGACTAACAGCCATGAGTTCTCTTCTATGATAATCTCAGTATTTGCTGAAATTTAGGTCAATTAATGTTTCTTTGCATCCTCAGCTCCAGTGGGTGTTAGGCAAAAGTGACTGTTTCTTGCAACTTTAGCCAATCCAGAAACCATCCTTGCATAGTTTTCCTCAACATTGAATTCCAAGTACACATCTCTCTTGCCTTAGAGATTATTTTTGAACTTTGAAAAATACCTCTCTAGGAATGTACAATTTACTGAGTGCTTACCAAAACCTGAGTCTGAAATCACTGTCCTCTAGTAGTTTCTCAAAGCCTGGTTCTCAGACTGCAAGCATCAGCTTCCCCTTGGTTCTTGTCTGAAATGTAAATTTCTCAGCTACATCCTAGAGCAGCCCTACCAAATTTATTATTGACTCTCAGAGCTTGGAACCCAGAAATCTGTATTTTAAAATGTTTCCCTGGAGATTATAAACTTTGAGAACCACTCTACTAGGAGGTCAGAATATATCCTTTATGTTCATGGGTAGGTCCACTTACCAGCCATGAAAGCATACATTTATGTCCACAATACAGATTTTTTTTCGGTAGACTATCTTACTGATAACATTTGGGATATAATTGCTTGTATGTAGTTTTACCGTTTTAGTCACCTTGGTGATTATTTCCAGCTCTGTGACTTTCTTATTCTGATCTTCTAGTTAGTGGATCTGGCTCTTCTTGTGAGGCAGGACCTGGTAACCAAGGCAGGAGACCCCTTCAGCCATGCCATTTCTGCCACCTTCATTCAATACCACAACTCTGCCGAAGTAAGTATTTAAAAATCTGGCTTTGACATGTCTGTGGATTTTTTTTTCCCCCTCATGTCTGGTATTTACATTAGTAGTTCTAAGAAAAAGATTATGTAGGAATATATAGCCTTCAGTCACAGAATCTTAATACATTCAACATTCAAACAAATACCTACTATGTTTCAGGCCCTAACAGTCCACTTAATGTAGTGATTTTATCACCTTCTCTTAGCCTTATTTAGCATTCCTGGCCCTTCAGTAAAAGAGTACCTCTCATTTCCATGGGAGATGAACACTTGGTTTAGTTAACTAAATAACATGGAGAAAAGTTATGTATGTAATTTTTGCTTCTAAGATGAAAGGATTATTTTATTCATGTAATAATAGTTCCTGGCATTGTTGATAGTTGGACTTTCCAGTTATGGATCCATCTCTCAACATGATTTAAAGAAATAGGGCTCCATGTATCCTTTGTGGTTTGATTGATCCAATCATGTAAAAATCACATCCTTTCTATATTCAGTTTTTGTTGCTGGGATCCCCACCTGTGGGGACTGTGAAGTCTTCTTGCCAACTATAAGGCTTTGTATAATAAGTGTCTATCATTTTTGGCATAAAAAATAATTGCTATAAACAACATGTGCCTAAAAACCAGAAATGTAACATCTAGTTAATGAATTTGCAAATAATCTTTCTTATTTTTTACACTGACATACACATCAGTTTCATATAATTCAACCTAATGACCATAAAGAGGGCAGCAAGGAGGTTTGATTAACATTCACATGTATAATGTGAAGTGACCCTCAGATCAAGTTAGGTGAAACCTATAACCTGAAAATGGCTACTAAGCAAGCCCCTTTGAGAATCTGAAGAAAACCATAAATCTTTTCTCCATAAATACATTTGCGCATTTTGTATACGTCAGGGCATTGAAAGACTCTCTGAAACCATTCCATGAATATAAAGGATCTGTGAACCCATTGGACTCCAAATTTAAGTGTCTCTGCTCTAAGATACTTACGAGATATATAAAGATATATGCTTGTATCTTATTACAGGCCAAAAGTATGACATCTTTTTTATGCCCCTTGTGGAACCAGATTGGCTTAGAACTAAAGTATGAATTAAAATGTTTATGCCCATTAAAAATCCATTTTTTTTTTGAAAAAGGTTATACATCATTATCAGTGAACATGCTTTAAAAGTCCCTAAAGCACACCCAGTTGATTAAACAGTATCTGTTTTCTTTATGTTACAAACCCAAATTATGATGTCAAAGAACACCCTTTAAACTGTCTTTGGTACGTGTTCACTTTATGAATATGTGTATAAGTATGCTTTTCATTAACATCAGACAAATTTGTTGTAACATTTCTAACTAAAGAAATTTACAGTGAACATAACAAGCCTAGTTTTCCCTTAACATTCAAGGGTTTGCTTACGTGGCTGGGAAAACTGTATCTCCCCCCAACTTTCTTGATTCTCCAGGGTGGCCAGGCTACCCTGGGCAGCGCTCAGCAACCACAGCTGCTGCTCCCAGCTACCAAGCAGTTAAGAAAAATGGCTTGTATGTGTTGAACTTCCTGGGCTCTCTGGGAGGTGGGAGCAGGAGTGTCAGAAAGCTTCCTGGCTAAATATGTTGATACAAGCCTCCAGCATTTCCCTGGCCTGCCAGACACCCCTCCTCCAATGTGACTGGTGGTCAAAATGAACATTCGGAGAGACTGGAAGTCTTTCTGCTCTTTATTACCTGACTCAACACACAAAAATGACCACTCTAGCCCAGGAATCCTATTTATCAGCATTGCAGGTCAGCAAGCACAGTTGAGGGCCTGCTTTAGGAACTTTACCAGGTTAGGTACCACTGTAGGCTCTGGAGACTAATATGATCTGTAGTCAGGGAGATACAACATTCTGCAAAACAAACAACACAGTAAATGAACAAACAGACAACTCAAGATTGTATGTACTGATTTCCAAATGAGTGTGGTAGACAGAAAGTTCAGAGATAAAAGCAACTCCCTGATTATAATGAAAGAAGACTTCAGAAAGGAAGTTGAGTATTGAAGAAAAGATAAGACTTTGATGAGATGGTAAAAGTGGGGAAAATACTGTAGGCTCTGGAGGCAGTGTAAGTGCAGTTGTACCGGGGGGAAAATCCTGATTAAAATATTCAAGCCAAGGACTCATTGCGAAGGGAACTAGGAAGTTAGAAAATGAAGGCCTTAGATGCTTAAGGAAGGAAGAATTGAACGTTTCTTGGCTAAAAAGTGATGAGTTTAAAAGGGTATTTTAAGAAGACCAAATGGAGGTTCTATGTACAGTCAATTGGATTGGAAACAAGGCATGGAATTAATCACATGCATTCTATTTTAATAATTGTCAATTCTCAAACACTAACCATATAAAGAACTGAGCTAGTTAAGCTTAAGGTTCTCAGATTATCAAGGTTAATATTAATTTGAGTTAATTTTCCAGATTTTTTTTCAAACATATGGCTTATATTCTGGAAGTAATGATCTCTAGGAATTACCTTGTTTTTCCTAAGAGCAACTCATGCCACATTAGCTTTATTCCTTCTTGTTTGATGTTTCTAGGCAAGCAGATCAAAGAAATACTCTTAAAAACAGTATCTGAATTTCAGCAAAATGTTTTACAAAGTTTAGCATAAGTTTTAAAGTACATACAAAGAACTGTAGGTCAGTAGATACCATGGTTATTACAGTTGATAGGATCGGGAAAATATAGATTTATAATACCATATATGAAAAAGACTTATTTGCCTATAAGTTTCTTATAATGATAAATAATAAATATTGTGATGGTACTGAAAAGGAAACATCACAGTATTTTTGTTTTGTTTCAGTGTCTAGGCACCATCCTAGAGGATGGACATTGACAAAGTGGAGTCTATCTAAAGGAGAGTAATAGGGGTGGGAGGAAGACCCTAAAAGCATGTCTCAAAGTGAGTGGTAGAAGGAACTTGAGGTGTTTGACCTGTAGAAGAGAAGAGGCTGTGAGATAGAGTCTTCAAATATTTGAAGGACCTCCAACAAGGGAGAGAGAACAGACTTGCAGGCATAGTCAAAGAAAGCGGGTAGATATGAGGGATATTCTGAAGAGAGGAAGAAACGAGGTGTTGGAAGAGCTAGAGATAAATCTACAGTGACCCTAAAGTGCTGAGTTTGAGTTACTTCACCTTGAAACGAAGGCTGGTCACCATGATACAGAGAATGTCTGAAAGGCATCCTGTTTGGAAAGTTTAGAACTTCCTTTTGAGTACTTTTGAAATACTGACAAAACTTCTCAGTAAAAATATCTGTATCTGACTGAATCAGCAGAAATTTTGGAAGCTGTATCTGAGGAATCCTAATTTTTATCTGAATGATCAGACAGATTAGAAATTAATATATTTAGATCCTTAGAGGCAAAATGATGGCATCGTTTCTGTGGACTGGATAATAATAAATTGGGTTTTTATATTTGTAACTTTCAAATATTATTGAATTCATGAGTTAACTAAATAAAATGTTAGTAGAAGTTCTGGTTGCCTGATTTCAGAGCCACATCTCTTTGAACAGGGGTCTTGCATGAAGCCCTATCCAGACTCTCCTGAGAACACACCTCCTCCCACACCAACAGCTCCATCCGCCGGCTCACAGCACTCGGGGAAGGCCACATCGGGACCCCTAGGGAATGGGAGTGCTGGACAAGACTCAGCTAAGACCAAACAAAGGAAAAGAAAAAAGGTTAATGATATTTTTCTATTTCTTTTTCTTTCTTTTTTCTTTTTGGTGCAAAGAAGAGAGATCTTGGGGCTTCCCTGGTAGCTCAGCTGCTAAAGAATCAGCCTGCACTGTAGGAGATCCTGGTTCAATTCCTAGATTGAGAAGATCCCCTGGAGAAGGGATAGACTACCCACTCCAGTATTCTGGAGCTTCCCCCATGGCTCAGATGGTCAAGAATCCACCTGCAGTGTGGGTGACCTGGGCTTGATCCCTGGGTCAGGAGGATCCCTGGAGGAGGGCATGGCAACCCACTCCAGTATTCTTGCCTGGAGAATCCCCATGGACAGAGGAACCTGGCAGGCTACAGTCCGTGGGGTCACAAAGAGACAGACGTGATTGAGTGGCTGAGCATAGCACAGTGCAAGGAGATCTTACTGAGTCCACAGGTATGGAAAGTGTGTTCTGTTTTTCTCATTAATTAGATTTTTAGAAGCAGCCATTTACAGCAAGATATTAATGTTTTCTAACATTTTATTATAAAAATTTTCAAGCATACAAAAAAGTTAAAAGAATTATAGAGTGAATACCATATATCTATCACCTGATTCTGCAATTAAAATTTTACTATACTTAATACATTTACTATATGTACATCTGATTATTCTTTTATCCATCCACCAGTTCTTTTTATTTTTGATACATTAAAAGGTAAGCTGCAGGCATCAGTATAATTGATGCCAAAACACATAATTTTGTATAATGTATACATTTTAAAGAAATTTATAATGTATACATTATACCTTTTTTTAAATGGTAAAGTTTATATACAGTGTACCACTCAATTCTTAAGTATACCATTTGCTGAATTTTGACAGATATATAAATTCATTGTTTTCTGATACCCACTCAAGATAAAAAAAGAACATTATGATCAGTTCAGAAAATTCTTTCACACCTCTTCCAGGCAATCCCATCACCATCCCCAGAAAAGCAAACACTGTTCTGACTTTTTAGTTTTCTCTCTTCTGGAGCATCATACAAAGAGAATATAATATGTATACTCTTTTATGTGAAATTTCTTTCACTCAGGGTATTTTTAAAGCTTATGTTTTTAAGTACAAATGTAACTTATTCTTCTTTATTGATGAGTGAGTTGCTTGTATATCAGTTTACTCATTTTCATTTTGGTAGTTAGGCTATTTCCAGTTTTGTGGGTATTATGAATAAACCTGTTATGAGCATTATTGTACAAATCTTTATGGACAAATGCTTTCATTTTTCGTAGGTAAATGAAATTGCTAGCTAGAAATGAAATTACTGGATCATAGAGTAGCTATGTGTTCAGTTTCTAAAGAAACTATAAGAACTTTTCCCCAAATGATAGTATCATTTTATCCAAAGCTACAGTAATCACAAAAGTATGGTACTGGCCCAAAAACAGAAATATAGATCACTGGAACAAGATAGAAAGCCCAGAGATAAACCCACGTGCCTATACTTAACTAATCTATGACAAAGGAGGCAAAAATATATAATAAAATGGAGAAAAGACAGTCTCTTCAATAAGCAATGTTGGGAAAACTGGATAATTCCATGTAAAAGCATGAAATTAGAATGCTCTCTAACACTATACACAAAAACTCAAAATGGATTAGAGACCTAAATGTAAGACCAGATATATAAAATTCTTAGGGGGAAATACTAGGTAGAACACTGTCTGATATAAACAAGATCTATTTTGATCTACTTCATAGGGTAACAAAAATAAAAATAAACAAATGGGACCCACTTAAACATAAAAGCTTTTGCACAGCAAAGGAAACCATAAACAAAATGAAGAGACAGCCCACACAATGGGAGAAAATATTAGCATCCACTGTTTTTAATCACATGTCAGAAGATTTTGTAGCTTTTTTTGTGTGTTTGTAATGTGCTGTTTTTCTCTGGATGTTTTCAAAATCTTATCTTTATTTTTGATTTTCAGCAGTTTGACCATGATATCCATAGATACGGTTTTCTTTGGCATTTTTTCTGTTTAGAATTCTCTGAGCCTCTTGAAAATTGAATACTTTTAAATTGAGGGGGGAATTATCAGCAATTATTTCTTAAGATATTTTGCCTGCCTCGTGTTCTCTCTTCTCCCCTTCTGAGATTCCAGGTATATTTTCGTCAGTTACTTTGATATTGTTCAACGTGTACCTGAAGCTCTGTTTAATTTCCTTTTCAATCTTTTCTCTCTGTTCTTCAGGTTGAATAACTTCTGTTGATTTTCCCTTATGTTCCAAACTCTATCTACTTTCAATTCAGTCTTAACACTCATCCATTAATGTCTTGTTTCTGCTATTTTGTTTTACAGTTTTATAATTTCCTTTTGATTTTGTTTTATAGTTTATTGTTATTTTTTATTATTTATTACAACTTCTTTTATTTCATAATAGCTGTTTTAAAATTCTCGTATGATAAATTAAATATCTGGATTGTTTTGAACTCCATTGAGTATAAGTCACACTTTCTTCTAGTAATTTTAAATTATACCCTGGAAATTGTGAGTAATATATTGTAGGGATTTCAGGTTCTGTAATATTCCTATGAGAAGAGTTGGTGTTGGCGGTGTGTTCATATGTATGTTAAGCAGACTGTTTACTCTTCTAGATGGAACTCTATAAACTCCAAACTCAAACTCCTCTTCAGCAGCTAGATGCTCTCTTGCTTTATTTAGTTTTACCTTGGTTTCTTGGATTCAGTCCCACAGAGGAATAGCTTAGAAATTTGTCAAAGATTTGGGTAAAATTATACACTTAATATTTGTCTTCCTTTCTTTGATTCTGTCCTTTTTCAGGATTTTCTTTTTCTCTTTATACCTACTGTGGTTGCCCTGAACTTTGATCTATAGTTCTTCATGCCTCTAAGGTCCCCTGACCTTATACTGACTAGGGCCTACCCTAGGCTTAAACAGAAAACCAACCCATAGCCATTCCCTTCTCCTGTATATAGTACTCGCCCTTTCAGTTTTTGTCCAGGTTAGATCACTCTGTTGCTTTCAGGTACTTGTTTTTTATAATTTGTCCAAAATTTATACTTTTCTCTACAAGTTGGTTGACACAATAGAAACTATTTGCCACTACTAGTAGTGGAACTGTGGCGAGATATAATCTTATAATTGATGGTAAGCAAATTTAAATTTCATCCTCATATCTGGATTCCCCCTTTTATTTTCAGAATGACAGGTCTCAGTGCCTATTGATTATGGGAAACTCTGAACTATAAGGAACTTCTGTGTTGTAAAGTAGTTCTAAAGAATTTCAGCTATAGTGCTCTCCAACTCATTCAGTAACTAAAATTAGAGTAGTAAAATATTACTTAAGGACCTCTTCAGTGGATTTGCTTTACAAACTATGTAGAAATTTATAATTAACCTGGTAATTATGCATACATAAAATAATTTTTTTAAATTTACTTATCCACATCTTCTACATTCAAGAAAGTGAAAGTGTTAGTTGCTCAGTTGTACCATCCCCGTGGAAAAGAAATGCAAAAAAGCGAAATGGCTGTCTGAGGAGGTCTTACAAATAGCTGTGAAAAGAAGAGAAGCGAAAAGCAAAGGAGAAAAGGAAATATATTCCCATCTGAATGCAGAGTTCCAAAGAATAGCAAGGAGGGATAAGAAAGCCCTCCTCAGCAATCAATGCAAAGAATTAGAGGAAAACAACAGAATAGGAAAGAATAGAGATCTCTTCAAGAAAATTAGAGATACCAAGGGAATATTTTGTGCAAAGATGGGTTCAATAAAGGACAGAAATGGTATGGACCTAACAGAAGCAGAAGATATTAAGAAAAGGTGGCAAGAATACACAGAAGAACTGTACAAAATGATCTTCACGACCCAGATAATCACACTGGTGTGATCACTCACCTAGAGCCAGACATCCTGGAATGTGAAGTCAAGTGGGCCTTAGAAAGCGTCACTACGAACAAAGCTAGTGAAGGTGATGGAATTCCAGTTGAGCTATTTCAAATCCTGAAAGATGATGCAGTGAAAGTGCTGCACTCAATATGTCAGCAAATTTGGAAAACTCAGCAGTGGCCACATGACTGGAAAAGGTCAGTTTTCATTCCAATCCCAAAGAATGCTCAAACTACTGCACAATTGCACTCATCTCACATGCTAGTAAAGTAATGCTCAAAATTCTCCAAGCCAGGCTTCAGCAGTACATGAACTGTGAACTTCCAGATGTTCAAGCTGGTTTTAGAAAAGGCAGAGGAACCAGAGATCAAATTGCCAACATCCACTGGATCATCGAAAAAGCAAGAGAGTTCCAGAAAAACATCTATTTCTGCTTTATTGACTATGCCAAAGCCTTTAACTGTATGGATCGCAATAAACTGTGGAAAATTCTGAAAGAGATGGGAATACCAGACCACCTGACCTGCCTCTTGAGAAATCTGTATGCAGGTCAGAAAGCAACAGTTAGAACTGGACATGGAACAACAGACTGGTTCCAAATAGGAAAAGGAATATGTCAAGGCTGTATATTGTCACCCTGCTTAGTTAACTTATATGCAGAGTACATCATATGAAATGCTGGGCTGGATGAAGCACAAGCTGGAATCAAGATTGCCGGGAGAAATATCAGTAACCTCAGATATACAGATGACAGCACCCTTATGGCAGAGAGTGAAGAGGAACTAAAAAGCCTCTTGATGAAAGTGAAAGAGGAGAGTGAAAAAGTTGGCTTAAAGCTTAACATTCAGAAAACTAAGATCATGGTATCTGGTCCCATCACTTCATGGGAAATAGATGGGGAAACAGTGGAAACAGTGTCAGACTTTATTTTCGGGGGCTCCAAAATCACTGCAGATGGTGACTGCAGCCATGAAATTAAAAGGTGCTTACTCCTTGGAAGGAAAGTTATGACCAACCTAGACAGCATGTTAAAAAGTAGAGACATTACTTTGCCAACAAAAGTCTGTCTAGTCAAGGCTATGGTTTTTCTAGTGGTCATATACGGATGTGAGAGTTGGACTGTGAAGAAAGCTGAGTACCGAAGAATTGATGCTTTTGAACTGTGGTGTTGGAGAAGACTCTTGAGAGTCCTTTGGACTGCAAGGAGATCCAGCCAGTCCATCCTAAAGGAGATCATTTCTGGGTGTTCATTGGAAGGACTGATGCTGAACCTGAAACTCCAGTACTTTGGCCACCTCATGTGAAGAGTTGACTGATTGGAAAAGACCCTGATGCTGGGAGGGATTGGGGGCAGAAGGAGAAGGGGACAACAGAGGATGAGATGGCTGGATGGCATCACCGACTCGATGGACATGGATTTGAGTAAACTTTGGAAGTTGGTGATGGACAGGGAGGCCTGGCGTGCTGCGATTCATGGGGTTGCAAAGAGTTGGACACACCTAGCAACTGAACTTAACTGAACTGATCCAACTCTTTGCAACTCCATGGACTATAGCCCACCAGGCTTCTCTGTCCATGGAATTCTCCAGGCAAGAATACTGGAGTGGGTTACCATTTCCTACTCCATATTCAAGCTCTTGCTATATTTTGATATTTTTACTCACTGGAAACCTCAGTTGTGATGGTACTAAAAGCCAAGGAACTTGATATATAATCATATCTTAATACTGTCATTTTAATTTTGGGAGTGTCCCTTATCTTCACTCTGTCACCTATAACGTGGGGAGTTGGGAAAGTTTAGAATAGATAATATCTTGTGTTTTTTCCAAATTTTATAATATATGAATCTTTGAATTTGGTGATTCTTTGTTGTCTTCTTTTCAAATACCTTTTCTAGTTAATTTCTTTAGTTTAAAAAAAAATCACTTCCTACTTACATAGAATGACAGCTTACACAACATCTCAGTTAAATTTTGGAATGAGAAAATTAACTGTTTTTAACTGTATTATACTATAGCCTTTGGCCAAGGAGTGGCCCAACTTCATCTGAAGGGAAATTCTCTATAAACTCAAAGAACTGAGAGAGCTCTGTGTACAAGAGTGAGGAGAAAAAAGACACTTGCCTGCCCACTCTGATCATACATCAATCCATGTGGTCAGTGAGGGACAGAAGTCGGTATTAACACTACTAACCTTCCACTTGCTCTGACCGGAGATACGTATTACTCCTTTGTTGCACCTCTGTAGAGTCTGATGTATCAAGTTTAGCAGAAGATGTAGTCCTGAAAAGAGTAAGAGACAGTTATCTGAGATTCCAGGTCCTTCTTAAATATTAGATTACCTGGCAAGGGGAAAGCTGAGAAAGAATTTTTAAAAAAGTTGTTTCTTCCCAACAGCTTTTATGTTGGGAAGAAAAGAGTCAGATAAGAGATCCTGGGGCAACAGAAGTTTCAGTGTAACTTCTTGTACCGCAGTTGAGAGTTGAAACTGTTGAAGAATTTTATTCAGTTCAAGCCAGCAAGGACAGAAGAGGGACAATGCCCAGATTCAGGAAATATGGAGAACTCCGTGTGATACTTCAGCTTCCAGTGTTGAGCAGCAGCTTCTGAATAAAAAGACATAACTAAAAACGAAATGGAAGAATCCAAGAATGGAATATGAATATAGCCGGGGAAAGGGTACCTGACATATGAAGAAGAACTTTACCAAGCACCTTGTTCTTGACTTTAGGAAATTAGGAGTTTAGTCACCACAGAAATTCTGACAAATACACTATAGACAACAACACTCAGTATTTTGTCAAACATGTGGGTTTCATTTTTGAAAATTTAAAGAATATTCCAAGATGTGGGCTCAAGCAGAATGAGAAAGCTAAATTGGTATATAAATCTAACAGTCTTCATATGTATTTATAACATAATATTTTTATTAGTGTAGCAAATACATAAATTTAATGCTAATCCTTCTGTAACAGTTTTGAACACTGTTACAAAATTTATGAAGTCACTGCTGAAGTAAAAATTCTAAACTTGATATGAATTTTGAACTTAAACAGATTACTAGTACTTTGGTGAGGGAAGGGATGTTTACAGAAATGCGAAGGTATTTTTCGAGGTGAAAACAATACTGCAGACACCACATTTGAGTTTTAAAGATTTCCTTGCAAAAAACTCAATGGGCAAATCAGGAGGGTGAAGAAGTGCATGTGGTAACTTATGCTGGTGTTTGCAGTGGCTTAATTGTAGCAGATAAACCAGAAACTGGCAAAATAGAAATTTTAATGACATTTTTCACAAAATTGAGTATTCTCATTTTTATATAAGGTAACCTCCTCTTTTTAGCAATGATAACGTGACTCAAACAGGATGGGGTACTTGCTGCCATCTTACAAATAGTGGCCACAGCGGTTTCTAACATACACTTCCTTCTTCAGTGTTCTGAAGTCAATTGGATCACCATGCCAGAAGTTTTGAGAGGTTTTGACCAACATATTCTATACCAAAATCGAACTTATTTGGGAAAGTAAAGGAAGAGTACCCTCTTCAATGGCCATGTAGCAAAGAAATAAATCCACTTTTCAGGGAGAAAGCGTTCACAGAGGAAAGCTCTGGAAGAACCCCTTACCCCCCTAGTCTGCAGGATATTGCCCTCTTAATGACCCCATTTTATATGGGGTTGGCCAAAATATCCGTTCTGGCTTGTCTATAAGATCCTGATCAAACTTTTTGCCAGCCCAACTCACAAAAGAGTCTTTAGCCTCACCAGGTACTTGACAATTGCATTTATTCTAGTATACTCCAACTGAAACAAAGTACTTGGGATAAGAATCAAGAAAGCATTTTTTCTTTTTAAAGAAAAACTATGTGTGCACTTTTATATGAGTGCCAAAGTGAGGGGTTAAGATAATTTAATCCTTGTTATTGTGGGCACAGCAGTTATGTTATTTAGGGTATTGTTGGAATGAAATTGAGAAAGATACTCTAGAGTATATTCCTATTTGGCTTATTTCAAATCTTGTTAAAAATAATAAAAAATAATCTCTCATTTTATATTTTAGTCTTATTTCAGGTTCAGCTTGAATAATTAGCAGATGCTCTTTGTCGGAATGTTTTAATTACTTTACTAGTTCATAATAGAAAAAGAACACACAAAGGGCACAAGAAATATATATATATTTTTTTCTATAACATTTTATTTTATTTTATTTTATTTTTTTCATTTATTTTTATTAGTTGGAGGCTAATTACTTTACATCATTGCAGTGGTTTTTGTCATACATTGAAATGAATTAGCCATGGATTTACATGTATTCCCCATCCCGGTCCCCCCTCCCACCTCCCTCTCCACCCGATCCCTCTGGGTCTTCCCAGTGCACCAGGCCCGAGCACTACAAGAAATATATTTAAAGGGCACAGAAGGATACACTGTGAAAAATATTTCCTTTAACCTGTATGCTGCAGACACCCATTCTCTTTCCTAGAGAAAGAAATTCTGCACTGTTACTAATTTTGGGGGTGTCTTTGCAGATATAACCTATGCTTAAATGAGCATATACTGTTCAGCCTTTAAAAATAAAAATAGCTGATAGCATGGTTATCCAGTTGTACACCTGGCATTTTCTCAAACAGTGTCTTATAGATAGCTCCATAGGAATCTGTATGGAGCTGCCTCCTTCATTATGGTGGTTGCTGTGGTTTCTGCTGCATTGAATGAATATCATAATTGATCTTATGGGTCTCTCCTTGATGAACATTTGCTTCATTAATTCAGATAGTGCAGCAGTGACTATCTATCTAGCTATCTATATTATATTTTGCCTGTATAATATATATCGGCAGGATAAATCCTTAGAAATCATGAAATTGTTGGATCAAACATGGTTTTCATTTTGATAAGATTTGCCAGATCACTCTCAATAGAGGTCATGCTAGATATACCTCTATAACGAATTCTGAGAATGGTACTTCTACAATGAGAATGATAGTAATACATGGGCTACTATTTTTTTCTCTTGATTCTTTAATGTTGATGACTTGGCATCTGGTACCTACTGCACTATTAAGTAAATTAGCTTATCATTTCAAGAACATGGATGTGCTGTTTTTAATTTAAGTAATAACCTACTGCTGTTGATAGCTAACATATATCAGGCATTGTTCTATGGGGTTTAGACATATCAACTCATTTAATTTTCACAGCAACCCTATAGAGCAGTTAAAATTATTACTCTGTTTACAGGTAAGGAAACTAAAATACAGGTATCTTACATGACTTGACAGAACTGGTAACTGAGATGGTTGGGATCTAGACCAAGGTATTTGAGAAGCCAAAGCCTACAACTAAATCACAAACATATAATACCCATATTTCATTTTTTTAAAATCATGTTACATACATTTCTTGAATTGAGATCCATACTCTTATTGCAAATAATCTTTTTCATTCTTGTGTCTTTTTGTACTTTCAAACCTGTCTTTTACAGATGAGGCAGATTAAAGTAATAGTTTCTGATTTGTTTTTGCACAAAGGACACCTAGAAAACTAGGAACCAAGTTGAAATGATCTTCTGTGACCATCCCCTGTATTATAAATAAATATATAGCAGTTTTAGATTTTTTATTTTAAAATTGATGACCCTCAGGTTATTTCAGAAATACATCCAACAAGCTCCCAAGAAACATTTATAGTAATAAATGTTTAAATGTTTTTTTAAAAAAATAGCTTCCTGTAGTTCTTTCAGCAAGCTCACATGACACTTTTCAGCCGCTCACAACTGGCTCTGTTGTCCTGTACCTTGACATGCAGGCCTGGGTGAAATATTGGGGGCATAAAAATTGCATTTGGTTGGTCTGCTTGGAAGGGGTCATGTAAAAGTCATCTTTGATTTGCTAATGGAATTTTTTTTTGTTAGATGTAGTATATGGCAGCACTGATGTGCATCCTAAGGGAAAAACCATCCATTTTATAAAAGTTTATTTTCATATTTTATACACTGTAGTTGTGTTGTGTGTTTTTGATTTAGTAACAATTTATGTGTTTTTCTGTCGCAGAGCACTGCGGCCTGTGGTGTTGAGGCTCACAGCGATGCCATCCAGCCCAGCCACATCAGAGAGGCCGTCCGACGCTATGGCCACAAGATTGGCCCCCTTTCCCCATTCACAGTACGTAATAACAGAGTTATAAAAAGTTATATTTATAATCTGAAAGAATTTTGATTTTCAAGTGGTCAAATGAAGCAGCAATGGAATTGTTGAAAGCAATTTGTGGTGGCTGTAATTTTGTTGTATAAAAGTGGCATAATTCTCTTGGGAAATAAGAGTTAGTCATTTTTGTCTCTTTTTGGAAGAACAGTTTTTTTCTCTACAAAATATTATTTTCTTTCAATTACAAATTATGCTTTTTTTTTTCCTTGGGGCTTATATTTTCTATTTTTCAAAGCTTAGGTTTATAAAACTTTTTTTGTCAAATTATATGTATCCAAATATTGCTAGAAGCACTTTATATTTTAAAATTGGTTAGATTGGCAATACCACTTCTATCAGATGTTCTGCTCCTAAACATACTTTGAGTTGGAAGAAGAAGAAATGATTTCTCTACTGGCTTTGAAGTAGGCTGAAAGGCAGACAGTCTTCCACATCTTCAAATGGTTTTAAAGCTTATAATCAAGGTTTGTTTTTTTTTTAATGGAGAATTAAAGACTTTATATTTCAACAGCCTAAAGAAAGAGTGTGTGTATGTGTGTTAATTAAATGCTCATCTTGTGGCCCTTTTAGAAAAATCTTTATTCATGTTAATATAACTTTCTCCAAGTCCTTCTCTGTTTATAAGGGATTGGTTTGATTTTCAGACAGTTAGGTTTGATTTATGACTAAAGCACAGTAGAATTAACCATTTGTTTCTGCTTTAACATACTAAAGCAGAATATGTATGTGTAACATTACACATATGTATGTACATAACATATATGTTTTTTCCTGAGTGGATTTTGCTATTATCTGTTGATAGAAGTCATAATTTCTTCTAAATTATCTCATCATCTTTTTTCTTGTGTTTCAGTTAAAGAGAATGCTTTCTTAGCCTTCTTTGTTTTCTTTGGTTATTGTTAATCATATGCATTATCAATATGACCGCAAGAATGTGTCAGAGTTTCTTTGTCTCTAGAAGCTTTCTATAATGGTGATGATTATTTTCACTTCTGGTTAATGTATTAAATTTGTCATATATGTGATTTATCATATTTATATTAATCATATGTTACTGGTTAAGCAATATATCCTTTTGAATGAGTGCTTTTAGGTTATTACAATTGAAAGAATGAAGTCTGTATCTCTTGTTTTTTTTCCTACATGACAAGTGAGACTATTTTAAGTGATTAGCCAAAACGGAGATGAGATTTAGAGAAATATGAGTTGATTCGAAGAATTTAAAAACCAACTGAAATTGAAAGAACCAATTTATAACAAAGGATTAAAATTTTCAGATCCATAGATAAGAGCCAAATAATGACTAATAGTCTGAGGCAATGGAATAGAGAGAGAAGAAAAAGGCAGAGTTGATAATAATCTAGAACTAATTAAAGGGTAGCAAAGAGAGACAGGGGTTTTGAGAAATAACCTAAAATGGTTACTAAAAGTAATGGGTAAAATTACATAAAGGAAAATGTATCTACCATAAGGGGAAATCTCCTAATCATAAGGTCTGTGATGTTTCTTCAAACGGAAGTGGTGGTGGTGGTAAGGTCCTTAATTCTTCAAGTTTTTTGTTTTTAAGAACACTGGTCAGATCACTTGAGAACCATCTTGGCTGATGACACTATGTATCTGTGTGTGTGCGTATACATGTTTATTCATTCCTCCATGTCTAATCTGATAGTCATGTATTGTTGCTTTTATAATCCAAGATTGTAGTATATGGCAGGAAATGTATTGAAATATTCAGAATACACACACACACACACACAGACACACACACACTCAGATATAGTTTAAGCTGATTTTTGTCTAATAAACATATAACCAATATGGTTTTTTAAACTAATAATGCAATTTAAAAATGCTTAGTGTAAATAGATCTGGAAAATAGAACAAAGAAGCCATGATCTTGAAGGCCCACTTAACCACTGCCAGAGGAGATGGACAGCATCAACAGCAGATGGGAAAGAAGGCCACCACAGGTGGACACTGAGTTTTCTTCACACCTCAGACCTTGAATGGTCTACTCCATTACCTGGAACTATAAGAATTTGCCCAGCCTACAAGGCTGTATATGCCCACTCCATTGTCTAGCATGAGTAGTAGGATCAGGCAGTATTATGTATTACAAAACATAAATCTGCCTTTTAAAGTTAAAAATTCTCTTTAAAGTAGAATAGATTTGCAGACTACATATGCTAACAGTGTGAACACCAGTTCTGGTTCCCTCGTGCCTGCAACTGTTAAGAGGAGATGTTCCTGATGCTGGGAGGATGCTGATGCTGAGTTCCCTGATGCCCACTCCCTGAGATGATTGATGCTGCACTAGGGACACTGCTTCCTGGGCTTTGGTCTGTGACTCCTAAAAGGAGGGGAGGCATGTGGGCTGTGTCTCTAGGAACCTTAGACTGGACCTAAATTATGCAGAAAGGCTGAACTAACTTACCTCCAGTATGAAATTTCCTTTGTAAACTAAAATCGCCATGAACAGCTAGTTTATATTTATGAAACATAGAGATTCTGTCTTTGCGACATGTCATTCTGAACATAAAGTGCTTGTCTAATGTGTATATAAATGAGATATCTCATTTAGAGTACCCATAACTTGACTTTAGGAATTAGTTTTAGGAGTTAGCTAAAACTATGAGACAAATTTGGAGAATTAAAATGACAGCCAGTAGGTTACTTGGAAACTGAATTCCAACATCAACCAGTAAGCCAAAAAAATTTTGCTTTTGATGTGGCATCATTCTGTCTTCTACTGTATGACTTGTGAAATAATTTTGTACAAATTTACACCATGATAGATTTCAGGAATGCAGTTCGTTATATGAAGAATTGAAAGTGAATTCTTCCCCTTGGGAATAATTAGTTGAAATGGCAGAAGAAAGGGGTGATTAAAGCCATGTAAGGCGGAGGGTAGAAAGGAGGGAAACAGTGTTTTGCACAGGGTAGCTGCTGGATTGGAGAGGGAGGGGACAGAGCGACAGAAACAGCAGCTTCCTGCCATTCATACCAGGGCTGTGGAGACACCTATAAACCTCCAGTCCCCACTCAGCCAGTTACAACTATATTGCCTTTGGCATGTTGGTTTTACTCCGTGACTTCTTTCTTTTCAGTGTTTTCATTTATTCTCAACCCTTTGCCGAAGATCAGAAGAGAGTATCATACCTAGAAGTTAAAAGATTAATTGAGATTAAGCTGAGATTAATTTAAGTTAGATTTTTTTTTTTCCCCGCAACTTTTACCATGGCTGTATGTATTCCTGATCTTCTGTGGTGGTGACTTACCTTCTCTATCTATCTTAAATGCTAAAGAACATTTAAAAGGACTAGTTTACCTTTTATTATTGATTTTTCCTAAATAATTCTGAAAATCACTTCAGAGCCTGCGATTTGTAGTCATTACAGTACTTAGCAAACTGGGGTATCCTGAGACATTTTGATGCTTGTCATCTTATCCTTTTACTCATTGTAGTTGGCATTATGTGAAGTTATATTGCATGGTGATTGACCCTAGAGCCAAATGGCCAAGATTAAGATCCCAAGTCTCCACCTACTAGCAAAGTAGCCTTAAGGGAGTTCCTTAACCTCTCTATGGCTCAGTTACCTCATCTATAAAATGGGCATAATAATAGAACATACTTTGTGATAGAATCTAAGGAGTACTGTGAACTTGACAAGCGATGAGCTCTCAATGTATTGTATTAATAATAGTGGAAGTAATAGTAGTGGAAGTAGCAGTAGTAGCTGCAGTATATTTTCTAAAAACTATCAGGTAAAAATACAAATTGAGTAAAGTAGAAACTATTTCCCCCGCCACCAAACACACAGATACACAGACACAGAAGCCTTACTTTGTGATCTTAGAAGAAACTAAAATTTGAATTATAATATGACTTCTTTACAGACTTATAGTTTACACCATTAAGATGTAAATGCTACTTAAAGATTATTGTTCCTGAGAATAAATTAAGGTTCATTTTCACTTTTTGAGTTAATTGTGGTTGAAGAACATTAATGGATTTTTTTTTTTTTTACCACCACTATCATATTAAAAAATAAGGTCTCAGCAACTGAGTGTCCGTAGTTTCCACTTGATTTTTGCTTACTAGTTAGGTTTTGCTTACTGGCTCCTGTGAAACAGAAATCTATGGAACAAATGGCACAGCCTCAGATTTATAAAGCTTCATCAAATTCAGTTTATATGAATTTATATATTTGTGTAAGTTATTGAAAAAAGGTTTTCAGAGGCTGATATATATATATATCAAAGTTGGTATAATTCTTAAGCATAAATTATTACTAGTCTCTTTATCTAGGGTGAAACAGATCACCAGCCCAGGTTGGATGCATGAGACAAGTGCTCGGGCCTGGTGCACTGGGAAGACCCAGAGGGATCGGGTGGAGAGGGAGGTGGGAGGGGGGACCGGGATGGGGAATACATGTAAATCCATGGCTAATTCATTTCAATGTATGACAAAAACCACTGCAATGTTGTAAAGTAATTAGCCTCCAACTAATAAAAATAAAAATAAAAAAATAAAATTTCCTCAGTTTACCAATTATAAAAATAATGCTAGCATGTTAGAAAATTAAAATATAGAAAAGTAAAGGATAAAATAAATCTTAAATTAAGAAACTTTTAGGGCCTTAAAAAAAACAGTATAGCAAAAGCTTTAAATGAGTTTTTCTATCAGACAGTTAATTGGTACTTAATTGTTTTAATTGAATTTAATTGTGTAACAGAAGAGTATTTCCTTGCAGCCTAAAGATTCAAATGCTTTTGGTAATGGTTTAAAAAAAAAATTCTTAGAATATTCTTGTTCAGGTCAAAGGAAAAGAAAGCATTTAAAAATTTTGTGAATGAAGTAGATTTTACAATTAGAGCATTTTGTTTTTTCTCTTGAAGAAAATACCCACAAGGAATACCTCAGTGGACTGTGTTATCTGTCACGAAAAGGGTGGTCA